TAGGGTCAGATCCCCGCAGGATTAGGGTCAGATCCCCGCAGGGTGCGGACAGGGTCGCGGGGAGGCGGGACTCTCGGATGTTCCGGGAATCCCTTGGCGTCTGTTTTGTTGCGTCGTTGCCCTGGACATGATGACGTCATTCCACTCCATATATGGATATCGCTTCCGGGCCCGTGATGGGAATCCCTGAGAGTGGGAATGAAAAACACAGGAGAAAGAGAAAGGAATGAGAGAGAGGGAGACTTGCAGAGAGTACACCAGAGGTTAACGAGAACGAAACCCCGGGACTTCGGGGCTTAAATTCTGAGGAGAGATTGTGCAAATTAAGCCTCTATTCTCTCGAATTTGGAAGGGTGACGGGTGATCTGATTAAAGTCTTCAGGATATTAATAGGAAAAGACATGATAGATAAAGAGAAAAAGCAAGAAAACTATGTATGCTGTAAGCACAAACAAAATCAGCAATTAGTGAGCAGGTCTGGGTCCTGAAGAAGGGTCACTGGGACCCAACATGTTAACCCTGATTTCACTCCACAGATGTTGCTGAGCTTTTCCAGCAATTTCTGCTGTAGATAAAGAGAAACTATTTCCGCTGGTTGTAGATTCTGGAACTAGGAGCATCATCTGCGAATTAGGTCCAGACTGTGCAGGAGAGATGTTAGGAAGTACTTCTACACACAAAGGTTGATGTTTCGAAATCTGTGCTACAAACAGCAGTGCATGCAGGGTCAGTTGTTAATTTTAAACTTGAGATAGATAAATTTCTGCTGAGTGAAGATACAAAGGGATATGGGCCAAATGCAGGTATATGGAGTTCCGTCACAGATTAGCCACAATCCTATTGAATATTTGAACAGGCTTGAGGGGCTGAATAGCCTTCTTCTGTTCCTATGTTCCCTTTCCCACTCCCCATTACCTTCCATTTCTGACAGAAAAAGAATCTATCCACCTCTGTCTGAAATATATTCAGTGACACTGCGCCCCCCACCACTTTCTGACACTGTCCAAAGTCACATGACGCTCTGAGAGAAACCACTCTGCTCATCTCTGTCCTAAAAGGGCAACCCCTCATTTAAAGCACTGCCCCCTAGTTCTGGACTGACCCACAGGAGGGACTATCCTTTCTCACGCCCACCTTGTCAAGACCATTCAGGATCTTGGACACTTCAATCCAGTCACCCCTCACTCTTCCACACTCCAGTAGAAACAAACCTGGTCTGTCCAACCTTTCCTCATAAAGGAACCCACTCATTCCAGGGACCATTTCAGTAAACTTTGTCTGAACTGTCTCCAATACATTTCCACCCTTCCTTAAGTAAAGCGAACAAAACTGTACAGCGTATTCCAGATGATGTCTCCCCAACACCCTGTAACATGGAAGCATAAAATCTTTAATCTGCTGTTCAATTGAGTTGCAGAGATAGAGAGACTGAGTTAAAGAGAGACGGAGAGAGTAAGCTACAGAGAGATAGAGAGAGTGAGCTAGAGAGACAGAGACATAGAGAGAGTGAATTACTTTTAATGTGTTCATGGGATGTTGGCTTTGCTAATGCCCACATCCTACAAATGAATTTTTTTTAAAATTGAAGTTGGGCTAAACATTTCAATCTCATTACCCACATCATTTTTTTACAGGGATTTGTTTCCCTCCTCCCACTATAATTTGTCCATTTAATTCCATTTAACTCTTTAATCCAACTCTGTATATTGCAATTGGTTTGTAACCTATATGTGCACCTCCAATTAATATTTTCCCCTTCATTAACCTCTTTGGAAGGCAATAGCATCATCAGATAGTACACACTGCCGCTACTGAACTTTGGTGGTGGAGGGAATGAATGTTTGTGGATGTGGTGCCAGTCAAGTAGGCTGTTTTGTCCTGGATGGTGTCAAATTTCTTGAGTGTTGTTGGGGCTGTACCCATCCAGGCAAGTGGGAAGATTCCATCACGCAGGCTTTGGGGAATCAGGTGGTGAGTTACTTTCTACAGTATTCCTGACATCTGACCTGCTCTTGTAGCCACTATGTTTAGGTGGTGAGTCTAGTTCAATTTCTGATCAATGGTAGCCCCAAGGATGTTGTCAGTGGGGGATTCAGTGAATGTAACACTAATTTTCCCAATTTCCTACTACAGTAATTAACACCTATTTCAGGTGAGAAACTTCAGATATTTGAACTTAGTGTTTCTATGTCATGGTGGTGAAATCACCCTTGCTCTGATGGTTAATTACAAAACAGGAACAGTTTCCCCTGACACTAACCATTACTGGGATAAAATATTTCATGGGCACTAAGCATTACTGGGGTACAGGTTCCTGTGCAATGACCAGTACAGGCTGTCTATATTGTTCACACAGTCTATAGCTCACATGATGAGGATTGGTTAGCTCAGTTGGTGGGACAGGTTAGTTTGTGATGCAGAGTGACTCCAGCAATGTGGGTCCAATTCCCACACTATCTGTGATTCTAATGAAGAACTCTCCTTCTCAACCTCTATCCTTGCTTGAAGCTTGATGACCCTCAGGTTAAAACACCCTCTCACTTGCAACTTCTCATCCCCACTCTCAACATTCTCTTGTTATCCATCTGAAATCCACACCTGGATAAGCAGAAATGTCCTCCAACAAAATATTGCTATCGCTTCAGCGCTAGTGCAAGCTGTTTTATGGGGAAAAAAAAAAAAAAGGTCAAACTGAGCAAAACATTGCAGAAGGAGATGAAGGCTTTGGAGAGGATGCAGAAGAGGTTTACCTGGATTAGAGATTATCTATAAATGAGATGTTGAACGAACTTGGATTGTTTTCATTGGAGTGTCAGAGGCTAAGGGGCAACTTGATACAAGTATATAAAGGTTATGAGAGGTGTGGATAGTCAGCCTTCCCCCCCTCCCAAGGGTGGGGATGTCAAATACTAGGGGCATAGGTTTAAGATGAGGGGAAAAGGTTAAGGGAGATGTGCGAGGGGGGTAAATGCCTGGAACACTGCCAGAGGAAGTGGTAGAAGCAGAGATGATAGTGAAGTTTAAGCATTTTAGACAGACTTGTGAATAGACAGTACACAGGGATATGGGTGACATTCAGGCAGCTGGGTAGACCTGTTTAGAATGGCATGATGGGCAGCACAGCCTTGGTGGGCCAAAGGGCCTGTTCCTGCACTGTACTGTTCAGGTAGATCCTAGACCCAAATCAAGTGGTCAGTGCACAGGTACAGCAAGTAATGAGGAGAGCTAACAGAATGTTATCATTTGTGAAGGCAATTGAATATTCGAGGTGTGGTTAGGCTTCAGGTGCCCTGCTGAAATTGTTCTGTTCCCTTTGGCCTGACGATTGAACAGCCCAGTTATCAATAATCCATGCACAGACAGCAACAGCAACTACTTTTGGCTTAAATCATTTTATTAATGTTAGCACAAGGCAAACACTTAATCTCATGGAAAATAGAAAAAATAAATATTTCTAGAAATAAATTAAACCGTTTTCATGGAAAACTGATGTCAATATTCAAGACCACTGAACACAATGAAGAGCAGGGTAATATTTTTAAAAATAAACTTTTACAATAAATTATTGTTGATATGTTATAGTAACACCATATCGCTGTAATGTAGATTCGACCAAACACCATCTGGAGAAGAGTCTAGCACCGTGTCTCTGGCTGAGTGAGTAAGAGAGTGTGGAGCTTTAGCCCAGGGAGGCCAGTCTCATGCATTTCCCAGGCTGATGCATGCAGCGCTGGGGAGCTGGCAGTGTCCATGTCCATGTCCCTCAGCTTCTTACAAGGCCAGCAGGGTAGGAGAGTTCAGAGAGTCGGAGGAATGGTCACTGCTAGCCCCGGGGCCGAGAGAGGAGCCACACGCCGCCAGTTCCGGGTAGCTGAAGGTGAAGGAAGAAGAGTAGGAACCGCTCGGGGTGGCGGTCAGGACAGGGGTACACAGTGGCTCGCAGTCGGCAGGCAGTGAGGAATACAGAGGCTCCCAGTCGGCTAGGTTGATCAAATCCACATCGGGGACTGAGCGGCCTGTGTCAATGCTGCCCAGTAAGTCCGCTCCCAGGTTACTGTCCAAGCCTGAGGCTGGAGCTGGGGCTGCTGCAGGGTCCGGGTCCGCTCTCTCTATGCTGCTGCAGCCGGGGAGCCCCGGGGCCTCGGGCTCTGGGATACGGCATACCGGCCGGTGAGCCGCCAGGATAAACTCCAGCTTCTCCTTCTCTTTCAGCAGCTCCGCTATCTCCGTCTCCAGAACAGACTTCTCCCCTTCCAACTTCTCCGTCTCCTGGGGGGGGAAAACAAACCCGGCACTAGTTAGTCAAAGGGCGGCTCACAGCAGAGAGACAGCACACCCCCCCACCCCCTCCCACAGACCTCAACATACTCACCCCTCCCCAGGCGGTGGGGCTCAGGTTGCAGCTACAGCCAAAACCCGGTCCTAAGCCAGGGATGTGCAACTGGGTGCGGGAAGTGTGAGTGAACTTGGTTAAGTGTGGGGTCTGGGCCAGTACAGACTCGATGGGCCGAATGGCCTCTTTCCGCACCGTGGGAATTCTATGATTCAATCCCCCCCCCCCACGAAGTCCCTTTCCCCACACCCCCCGGGTCCGGAGCCGCACTCACCGTCTGCAGGCTGTCGGTCAGCTCCCTCCTCCGGTTCCGGCATTTAGCTGCAGCCAGTTTGTTCCGCTCCCTCCGGACCTTCCGCTTCTCCTCATCCTCGGGGCTTAGCTGCAAAGTGGGGAAAGAGAGAGAGACAGTGAGACCCTGGTTCAGAGACCACAGCAAACATTTACCCCACCCCCCAATCCCCATCCCCCACCCCTGCCCCCTCCCCACTGCCCAGCGGAAGGGCAGGTACACAGACCCTGCCCCCACCCCCACCTCAGGGGCGGCTCTAAATAGCAGAGACACCCTGGAATACCAGGCCACCCTCCCGCAAAGCTGCTCCTCGGAGCCGGCCTCACCTGGTCAGTCTTGCCCCTGCGGCCGGAGTATTTGCTGCTGGCGGCCCGGGCCCTGTACGGGGCTCCAAGGCTGTAGTCGTGCCTGGGCCCGGGGCTCAGGGTGGGCTGCACCATCCACTGCAGCTCGGGCCGGCGGCTCAGGGCCGTCAGACTGGGGGCGAGCTCGGAGCCGGGGTCCTGCAGAGAGAGAGAGAGAGAGAGAGAGACATGAGACAGCGGCCGGGACACACACACATTCCCCGACCCCCCCCGGGGGGGGAATGGAGAGCCACACCCCGGGGGGGCCATGGGGGGATACCCCCCCCCCGGGGGAGACATGGGGGGGAACCCCCCCCCTTCCCCACGGGGAGAAGATTGTTGTTGTGAATGGAGTTGACGTCACGGGTGTTTATTAATAAAGCGGCGCTGATTGGTTCAGAGCGAGCGCAACACCGGCCCCAGACGTCACACTTTACGTGGATTCTCCCGGAACCAGAGACAACCCTCCCACCGCGGGACAAAATAAATACCCTCACCCCGGGGGGTGTTTACCCCACTATCCCCAATCCTCTCTGTACCTCCCCCTTCCCGGTGATCACAGTCTACCCCGCCATCCCCAGCACCCCCC